ATCCGGCTTGGGGGCTTGGGGGCTGCGTGGGGACAGCATCCCCAGCCCACCTGCTGTGGTGCCTGAGCCCTACACAGATACTGTTCCCGGCCACCCCGGATGTCAGGGACGCGCCTCTGACAGCGAGGCCGGGGGCTTTGTGTCTTATTTATTCTTTATTGTAGTAAATTGTACATAATCCAAAATCGACCGTCTAATCCAGGGGTGAGCGCACAGCTTGGCATCGGGCACAGTCACACTGTGTGCGGCCGTCACCACCGTCACCTCCAGGACTTTCTCAACTGGAACTCTGTCCCCATTAAACTCTCACTCCCAGCCCCTCCCCCAGCCCCGGCCCCACTGTCTACTTCCTGTTTTGGGGGCCCTGACCACTCTGGGGACCTCCTGTGAGTGGGGTCCCACGGACGTGTCCTTCTGTGACTGGCTCGTTTCTCTGAGCTCCGTGTCCTCCAGGTCCATCCACGCCGTAGCCAGTGTCAGACTTCTTCCTTTCTAAGGCTGAGTGATGGTCCACCGTGTGGCTGGACCCCGTGGACGCTTGTGTGCCCCCCTTGGCTCTTGGGGAAGCGCTGCTGTGGGTGTGCGCGGCCGATCGGGGCCGGGGCCCTGGCCTCTGCAGCAGCAGCCTCCAAGCCCTGACCCCGTGCTGGCCCCAGTCCAGCGGGAGTGGCCTCCTGCTGGAGGACAGGGTGCGTTGGCACCGATGCTCTGGCCTGACCGCGTGCAGAGGTTACAGTCATTACGAAACGAGGGCAGGACAGGAAGGAAATCGGTAAAAGTGTTATTCAGCAAAGTCAAGAGTAGCCTACCCTGCACCCCCCTTGTTTGGAAATTGGGTTTCACCTTCCTGTGTATTTAAGTGTGGGAGCCGCCAGGCACAGGCCGCGCCCCGGCTCAGGCACACCGAGGGGGCGGGAGATGGGGGAGAAGACCCCGACCAGCCCTGGAGGCTGGCGGGAAGGGGGGGTCTACGAAAGGGAGCACACGCGCCCCAAGTGCGGTGCTTCCTTACGTTCCCCTGCCCCCACAGGGCCGGCTCCCGGGTCTCAGGGTCAAGTACGTCTTTCTGGTCTGGCTGGGCGTCTTTGCGGGCAGCTGGCTGGCATACGTGCACTACTCGTCCTACGCAGAGCTCTGCCGTGGGCACGTCTGCCAGGTGGTCATCGTAAGTGTCCCCACGGGCTGGGCTTGTGGGCTGACATGGGCGCCTTCCAGCCCAGTGCGGGCACACGGGTAGTCGACTGTCCATGCTCGAGCGCCAGCACGATGCGTCTGAAGGTGGAGCCAACTGCGGGGGGCAGGGCCAGCTCTGCCTGGGGTGGCAGGAGGGCGGGGCTGTGGGGGGCCACTGCAGGTGCCGGGGAGAGCGTGGCGGGCAGCTGGGGACGGCTCCAGAGGCATTTGGGAGGGAGACTGGAACAGGCAGATGCTGGTGGCCTTGAGGGGCCCTCCTGGGTACAGGGATCCACCAAAGGAGGTGGCAGGTCGGGTCCTCAGAGCCTCCTGCTTGGGGGACAGCGCTGAAGTCCCTGCTCGCAGCCTCTAGAGCGAGGACGTGTGTGTGCCTGTGAGCGCGTGAGGTGCCAGTGACAAGCTCGCACACCTAGCCGATTCTGTTGTCGCCCTGTGACTCTGGCTGGACGGAGGGAGAGGTCATGTCCGCCCAAGGATCCCTGGTGACCCCCAACTTCCCGACCACACCTGCCACCCCGCCCAGCCTGCCTGGCAGCTGATGAGCAGGGTTCTGCCACCTCCACCCCACTGGGGGACGGGCCGGCCATGCAGCGGGAACTCCCAGAGGCTTGGGTGGGGAGCCATGATTTGTGGACTCAGGGGGACCCCCAGGCTTAGCACCTGCCTCGGCTGGCCCCACGGCAGCCGGGTGGCCTGTAAGACTGGGAGAGCCACCTGTCCTGGGTGCTGTGTGGCCATGGAGGCCAGCCTGCTCTGGCCAGGGTCCCACAAGGCCGAATGTGGAAGGTCTGGAGGTGGCGGCGGGGAGGGGCTGGGGGCCACAGTGGGGCAGCCCCATGTGACCGGACTTGCTGTTGGCCGGGCGCCTGCCAGGGCTCGGCCAGCGCCGAGGACGCAGCCCCCTGCTCAGGCAGCAGGCCGGCCACAGGGCCTGGGAGCAGGAGAGGGTCACAGGGCTGCACAGCGGGCAGAGGTGCCACCGGAGTGACGGTGGCGAGGTCTCCCAGCTAGCCCTGGGAGGAGGCGGGAGCTGAGTCTGGCCGTTGGGATGCAGTGAGCAGGTGGTCAGGGCGTCGCAGGTGCTCCCAGAGGCCCCGGGGAGGGGTGCTGGGGCAGCGGAGGAGGGGTGTAGCCCTCCCAGCCAGAGGAAGCTGCAGCTCCAGCGGGCAGGGGTCTCCTCACCGAGCCCGGCGCTGCTGAGGCCTGGCCGTGGGGCCGTGGGGACACCCCCTCCTTTCCAGGGACCTGCCGACTTCGTGAAGGCCACCAGCCATCTCGGAGAGGTTCCACAGCTTGTTCAAGGCCACACAGCAAGGCGGGCAGGACCAGTGGTCACAGATCAGATCAGGTGTTCCAGGCCTCCAGGCGCTCAGCCGAGTCCCCACCACGGCCGTCTGCCGACGGGAAGCGGGCTGCCAGGCGAGGCCAGTGCAGGACCCTCCCCAGCCCAGAGGGCATGCAGCCAGCAGTCTCCCGCCCCCGCCGGCTGGGGCTGGCCCGGAGCAGGGGTGGGCTGGGCAGAGCAGCTGCTGCCCAGGTTCCCAGGTGGACCACCCCCAGGGTTTAGGGACGCCAGACAGACCCCCTGGGTGGAGGGCCTCCCGCGGGGCGGAGGCACGGAGGCCTGTGCTGCTCAGTTTTCCTTTTCTAGCTTGATGAATGGCTGTAACGTTTGTCACGCCGCAGCAGACGCCTCATTCAGGGTTCACACAGCTGAGTCCAGGGCTGTCTTGTTTCTGTCCCAGCCAGTGTCCCATGTCCCAGAGGCCCGAGCCCTCGGGTGGCACTGTGGTCCCCACACTCCCTCCAAGCCGGCTCCGCCAAGGGCCTGGGCTCCATGGCAACAGCGATGCTCCAGATGGCCACAACCCGCCCCCAGAGGGAATGGCCTGATGCTGTCACCTCCCAGCCACCCATCTTCCTGCCGAGATTCAGGGGGCTGTGGGGGCGGGGGCGGGGCAGCGGCAGCTCCACCTGAGTGCTGCTGAGAGCTGCTCCCCGTGCCTCCGGCTAGTGAGGTGGCCTGGGCAGGTGACAGCCCTGGGAGAGCTGGGGGGAGCCTCGCCATCTCACAGGAGGAGGGCAGGCTCCCTCTCCGCAGCCGAGGCCGCATGGCACCACAGGTCCTGCTGGCCCTGCTTCAGCCCACGGGGAAGGGCTGGGCGCCGGAGCCCGAGACCCAACCCGGGAGAACCGGAAACCCGCTCGGAAGCAGTCGTGCCAAGGAAAGCTTGTCGTCTTGTAGGACGATGGCGGAGGGCCAGCCGCGGCAGCTGCCAACTCACCGCAGTGAGCGCGAGAGCCCTGCCGGCTGGGCAGGCGCCCGGCTGCGAGGCTGGACACTGCCTGGCCATTGGCTGCAGCTGTCAGGGGCCCCTGGAAGTTCTGTGGCCTGAGAACCACGGAGCTACTGGCAGATGCGAGGAGGGCCTCAGCCCGCCACCCTGGGTGCCACACGTAAAGGGTGAGGGCAGGGAGGCCCTCTGGGGGAAGGGCTCGGAGCCCCCGAGTCCCTGTCCCCCAGGCCGCTTCCTGGTGTGTCCCTCTCACCTCAGTGTGACCAGTACCGCAAGGGCATCATCTCGGGCTCCATGTGCCAGGACCTGTGCAGCCTGCACAAGATTGAGTGGAGGACCTGCCTCTCCTCCGCCCCCGGCCAGCAGGTGAGCCCAGGTGGTCGGCCAGGGGACCCTCCCTCCCTCCAGCGTCCGGTGCCCGGGTGCCGTGGGAGGGGACGTCTACACAGAGGACGCCTGTGGCCCCCCCAGGTGTACAGCGGGCTCTGGCAGGGCAAAGAGGTGACCATCAAGTGTGGCATCAAGGATAGCCCGCACTCCGAGGCCGGGCTGGACGCGGGCCCCCGGCGGGAGCTGGCGCTGTTTGACAAGCCCACACGGGGCACCTCAATTAAGGAGTTCCGGGAGATGACCCTCGGCTTTCTCAAGGTCAGTGACTCTGCTGGGCCTGTGTCCAGTTCATGCCCAGGGCAGGCTGGCCAGGCGGGGGCCCACGGGCTGGCCAGGATTCTGGCTAGGCCCCAGTTCTGAGCAGACCTGGCTTACGGAATGCCCACTAGGGAGGGAGGACCCCCCACTGCCTGGGGTCGTCAGTGGGGAGAGCCTGGAGCTGCGGGAGCATGGGAGGGGACGGGGAGGGGACGGGGCGGAGCAGATGAGTGAGGGGCCACCCCAGGCTCCCTGACACGGTCCCTGGGAGCAGCTCCAGGAGAGATGCAGGTGGCTGGGTGTCCGGGGCGGGCTTCCAGGTGGCGGGGGTCCCACCGCATCCCTGCTCGTCACTTCCATCCGTGTGGCTGGAGGCTGGGCTCCCCTGAGCTGGCAGACGCGCCCGCTCGGCCAGCACCCGAGGCTCTGGGCGGACCCCACCGGCCAGCACCCCAGGGTCCTGCCGACGCAGAAGTGCTGGCTGAGACGGCCTTCTCCCTCTTCTGGCCCCGCCCGTCAGGCAAACCTGGGTGACCTGCCCTCGCTGCCCGCGCTGGCCGGACAGGTGCTGCTCATGGCCGACTTCAACGGGGACAGCAGGGTGTCGCTGGCCGAGGCCCGGTCGGTGTGGGCCCTGCTGCAGCAGCACGAGTTCCTCCTGCTGCTGTCCCTGCAGAAGGACCACGCCTCCCGGCTGCTGGGCTACTGCGGGGACCTGTACGTCACCGAGGGCGCGCCCCACCGCC